TCCCAAGTAGCTGGGACCACAGGTGCCCGCCACAACGCCCGGCTATTTTTTGGTTGTAGCCATCATTGTTGTTTGGCGGGTCCAGGCTGGATTCGAACCCCACCTTAGGTATACATGGCTGGCGCCTTAGCCGGTTGAGCTACAGGTGCCAAGCCACTTTATGTTTTAATATTAGGTAGTTCTACTCACCTTATCTTTTTTCAGAATTTTTTTATATTCTCATTTTCCAACAAAATACTTTAAAGCCAATTAATTTTAGCTCTCTCAAACCATATGACAAAGAACCATAGTCTTTCATATTAGCAAAAATCCCTTTTCCCTGTTAATATGTCCAAAGAATTATAAAACACAGGACTTGATACAAATGAATGAGAATAATACTGTTTGGCACCAGATCAATTTTATTATTCTGTTGCATTTAAAATAAAGAATATGTGGGGCATGGGGGCTCATGCCTGTAATCCTAGCACTCTGGGAGACTGAGGCGGGTGGATTGCCTGAGCTCATAGGTTCAAGACCAACCTGAGCAAGAGCGAGACATCATCTCTAAGAAAATAGCCTGGCATTGTGGTGGGCACCTATAGTCCCAGCTACTTGGGAGGCTGAGGCAAGAAAATCACTTCAGCCCAAGAGTTTGAGGTTGATGTGAGCTATGATGCCACAGCACTCTACCAAGGGTGACAAAGTAAGACTCTGTCTCAAAAATAAATTAATAAATAATATTTTAATATAAAGTAATATTTTTTATAAGGTACCTCAAGAAGTTATGAAGTAAACTTGGGAAAAACTACACTCAGCAACAGTTCTAGGTAAAAAAAAAAAAAAAAGGATATGTATATGTGTGTATCTAAGCTGCTTTTACCAAACCATCTGATTTTAAGCTTATTTACAAAAAAATAGAAAGGTTGATTTTACAATTAGTTCTCCTTACCTCTTTCCAGCTTAGGTAAGTATTTAGAAATTTTATCTCTATTTCTCTCACCGTAGGCTATAGGCTTAGAAAGTTACACGTGAAGTAACTACTAGCTTTGTCATTCATGAGTGATAGACTAATAAAGCATGGTTCCGATAAATAAGAGGAAAGAATATCAAGATATAGCACAAGAGATCAGTTTTAGTTAAATGAGCACATGAAAGACGTTTTATGAACCTCAGGCCCTACTCAGTTTGAGGCAGTGGTGTGACTGGGGACAGCTTCCCCTCGGGGTGTCCGTTCAGGCAAAGCAGCAGGCTAGGTTCACTCAAACTACCACAAAGATGGGATTGAGGATACGTGGAAAGGAAAAGTAAGGATAGACTACGAGTGGCACGCTCAAATGCAAGCAAAAGTATTTAGTGAAATCAAGATTACCTAAAGTCAATTTATGATCATTTTCCATAATGTGAGTTAGATAAGGTAAGGGGGAAATAGATTAAATGAAAATAATTTCTTTCTTTCTCTTCTAGCTCTACCTCCTGCTTCCCCAAAGGGGAATAAATACCAACACGCACCCCATAGAAAGTCAATACAGAGACGGCCCTCACAATCAGTCCGTACACTGTCACAACCAGGAGGGGAGGGGCAGAGTTCCACACAGTCAAAACACAGAGGGCTAAATCTAGTTTTCAAAAGTATCTTTAAAGTAACAAAACTAAAGGCTCATCTATAATTTCTCTTTTTATTTTTAAAATAAATTTAGTCAATTATTGTGACTACTAAAGGTTTTTAAAGAAAAGTTTTAGCTATGAAAGAAAGACCCATCCTAGCTTTAGAATAACTCTCAAAGTTTCAAAATAATGTTAAAAATGGGGTTTAGTTTCCATTCTAGAAAAAAATCCTGCAATGAGACAGTATAGTTTTGTTTGATAGGGAAAGTTTCTTTTTTAAAAAGGGATAAGCTCAATACTCGTATTTCTTAAGGCTATTCAAGCTTGAATACCAAAGGAAAAAAGACAACCTGGCCTGACATGACTAACCACAAATGTTTTACTTGGTACTTTCTGTTAGAAGGAGTCAAGGGAATAGTGTAAACATAAACCTTGGGGTCAGGTCATGATTTAAGTTATCAGGAAAAGGCATATAAGGAAAACCAGTCAACCTTAGTTCTACTGTCTTATAGCTAGAGTAAAGCAAATACGTGCTCTTGTGGGAAAGTCAAAACCTGATAATAACTTTAAGCAAAGTTTAAAAAAAAACAATCTTGGGTGGTGCCTGTGGCTCAAAGGAGTAGGGTGCCGGCCCCATATGCCGGAGGTGGCAGGTTCAAACCCAGCCCCTGAAAAAAACCCCCCCAAAACAAAAACCAATCTTATTATTCTTTAAATAGTCAAATCTGATTCTAGAGAAAGGCACCAACAAATTTAAATATTATATTGCTATCTAAGAAGTAGGACTGGTTAACCTAAAAATAAATTTTAAGTTTTCAAATACAGATTTATTATATAAAAAAAGTAAATACTGCCTATCAGTGACTGTGTTCAAGAATTCTAAAACTGTAGTTCATTTATGAAAATGTTATGACCTCAGTTATGACACAGACACCAAATTTCAGGCAAGCATACTAATCAGCTCCTTTAAAGGTAAATAATGGTGAATGAAGTAGACACAGGCCGCGGATAGTACTAGCTGAAGCCAAGCACAGAGAGGTTAAGTATTACACCAGCACGTAGGCAGAACCAAGTAGCTTTTGGTCTTCATGTAAAGAACTCCCTTACTCATTTCTCTCTGGACCTCACTTCTGCGTGCATACACTGCCAAGTAGCAAACAGTTCTGCCACGTAATGAGGTGAATATGAAGCCCTGAGGGTCAGGCACATTCTCTTGGAACTGAAGATTAATGCTGGAAGGTACAAGTGCTCCAGTAGGTGAGCAAAACTCAGAATCCAGGTAACACATGTTGGTTTTCTAGCTGCATACTATCATCAATCTGACCCTAAATACAGAAGGTATGTTAACTAACTGGACATGAAATAAATTCATTAGATTCTACAGCATTCAAGTGAGGTTGTGACAACATTTGAACATGAATAAGGAACGAAGTTTTTAGTCATGTGAACAAACAGTGCCATTAGTTTCAAGAAAGAATTTTGGACTGTGAGCTGAACCAAACTGGTTCTTCATCATATCCTCTTGTGTTGGCTATGTGATCTTGGGCAAGTCACTTGAACGCTAAGATTCTGTGAAGTTAAAATAACACCACTTGCTTTAATTGTTTCACAGGGCTATTGTCAGAACGAAGTGAGGCAATGTCTAAAAGTTCTGTGAACACTGAAAACACACACTAACTAAAAAGTAACTGAAAGTGGTCAACTGACAAGCGCCAAATTTATATCTAAGGACTACAGGGAATAAAATGCCTAAAAAAAAGTATAACTAGAAAAAGGCTAAAAGCATGGTGAGCAACAAATGCTATTCTTACTAAATGTGTCTCAGAATTAATAAATAAAGTTTATAATATTATAGAAGAGTTCACTAACTAAAGGGATACTCACTATCAATGCCACTTCACTTGGGCTGATCTATTTCAGAAAGAAAAAATCTAATATTGTCAAGTGCCAAAGTTGAATTCCACTAGA